GTTTTTGTTCATACTGTCTCCTTCCATCTTTTCCTCCCCCTTCTCTTTCTCAGTGTTGTCCAAGCAGCAGGCGGTCATTCCCAGTCAGGTTTGAGCGAACCGGACTGCAGCAGCAGCTATCAGGACTTCAATCTGACCCAAACAACCGCTTCAGCAGCTCACAGAGCAGATGGAACATCATCCAGCCCCCTGCCGCCGTGCGTGCACTTCTACAACGCCCCGCCACGCCTCACCCAACACCAAGCGTGCACAAGGCTGAGGTCACACCTGCATGAGGGGTCCTTTAAAGGTTGAAATGTTGGATTAGGCGTTTCTGAAGAAGGTGTGAACTGAGAAACTAAATGGTTGCCCAGGATTAGATGCTCTGTGGACACCTTCAGTAATTAGATGCAGTTTTAAGGCACTTGTCATCATTGAATACATTTGTTTGGAATTTTGTTGAGATGTATTTTCTCAGATATTAAGGATACTTCCTCCCACAATCAGATATCCATTGTATGTTTATGAAGTGGGAACCTATCATGCTATAATTTTGAATTAATATATTGTATGGGCCATAACCTATATAGTAAACATGTCTGTGAAGTTTTTTTTTTCAAAAATACCAAACAGATCAGGCATTTTAGCCATGCCGGTCATTTCACTCTATTTGGCTCTATTGCCAGCGGCTGTCTTCCACAAGGGCTGATTCTGTGGCAAATGAGCTGCTGCTGACCACGCCCCCTGCAAAGGGGTGTGGGCATGGCACGAGCGTCATGTTTACCATGCCTTACCCATGCTGTTACCATGCCCACCAACCTCTCAATTCCCCCTGATAGGTGGAGAGTTGCCCATATAGGGCGGAGCACCTTGTTTCTGACGGTTAGACGATATTTTCAAATCTGGATCAGTCTGTATCAGATCCGTTGCAGCCCCGTTTTTAGAGATTTGGGTATGGAGGAAAAGAGAGAGGGTTGTGTTGTCTGACACTTGTTGAGTTCCCTGACACACCGGGGACACATATTCATGTATAAAACACGTACAAAAGTGCATTTTGCATGATAGGTCCCCTTTAACTTCAACCATTTAATTTAAAACATCAAAACAGCAGCTTCGAATCATGACCTTATACATTCTTATTCCTTCTCAAGCAAATATGTATTCAAAGATGTTATACTATATGTGTTTTGTTTCTATAATAATGTGACAGATGTATAAAATAATTAATGTCAAAATCACAAGGTTTTTTGCGCATGTACTTATTTCCCCTAAATTCTACATTACAGGTAGAAAGTGCAACACTAGTAAGACCAAAACAAGTAGATCCACAATAGAATGTCATCTTCCTTTGAAGGCAGAAAATAAAAAGCAGGAACATTTTTTTCATTAAAACACTCTGACCTCTCTCCCCTTTCTCATCTGCAGCTCTGTACTGAACACGACGTTCCCGTCTTCATCAAGTTCAAGATCTTCGATGCGAAACGTGAGTTTGATCAATCACACAACAGATGTGGAGCTGAACCATAAATCTCACTAATGTTTTATAGATAAACACAGGTATTGTAAAATAGAGATCTTTCAACTGAGACATATTTTCTTCTGTTCCAATTTTTCCTGCTTCCTCATTGTTTTCCTCCTCCTCCTCCTCCTCCTCCTCCTCCTCTTCTTACTCCCAGCAGCCAGCTCTAAGACTCTATCTGGTCTGCTGGAGTTTGACAATAAAACTGAAGCTGTGGAGGCTCTGACCGTCCTCAACCATCATCAGATCAGAATACCAAGTAAGTTCTCGACTGACACATTCTGGTTAAACAGTAGGACATGTTCTAGGCGTGGTGATCAATACAAACTAGTTATCCAAAAACGTTTTATTACTGCATCACCTTGACAAACACTAAACAATCGGTCTGCTCAGCAAATTCCACCTCACTGACAACAGGAACGATCTGCAGTCACTGCTGTTCTTTGAGAAATCTTTTTTAATTTGTTCTTTTCTATCAGACAGAAAGAGAAGAGGCAGACTTCCTAAAATATCAACTGTGGGTGTGATGATGCATTCAAATAATCTCTATTATCTTCTTGACCTTGGAGTCACTGCAATTATATACTTAGTGTGTTGACAACGAGTGAAATGATTGCATGCTAACATGTATTAGCATACTTTGCTGTATTTAGTAAATGAGTATGCTCACACAAGCATTCATCTTGACACACAGTTCGCCGTTGTTTTGAAGGATGAAGTGAAATGTTTTTTTACTTGGAGGACACTCAGAGCACAGACCTCCATCAAAGCCACAATGCCCTTTGTTGAATATACACAAAAGTGAATATTAATTTGTGCATCAGAAATACTGTGTGCGCCGATATTTAATGGGCTGTTCCTCGGCACCTGCTACAACCTTTCACCTTGTCTAAAAAAAATGCATTATCCAGCATACAAACAGACAACAAACTTAAACATAACCTCCACCAACAGTGAGAGTTCATATGATCACATGACCAAAACCTATCTCATACTGGTGGAAAAAAACATGTTATGAACTTTAGCTGCTGGCTGGACTCAGGAGGTGACGTCAACCAGCATCAAGCAGCACTACCTGTATTCAGCACTAGATGTCAGGCTCAAACAGACCTGGTGTAAAAACAAACAACAACAACAGGAACAGAGGGGGGCAACCTCTCTGCTGGGATGAAGGTTGAGCATGTTACATGATGTTTGCCTGTAAAATAGACTCATTGTGTTGATTGTATCTGACAAAAACATTTCACACAGGCACAATGAGCAGTTTTTTCCTTAAAAACATTGTATAGACTTGTGCAGAAACAAACCCACCCACCCAATCATCACCTTTGACCCACTAGACGTTTAAGGCTGTACTGTATCTGGATTTTCTCATTTCTTTACATTTTATTCAATATAGAATGTAGTTATAAGATGCCTTGTCCTAAGCAACAATCTGTATATTCAAAAAGCATAAACAAATGTAGCAGATACATATAGAGCACAATGGACAAACCGGTTACAAAGTGAATCTGGAGTTTTCTTTCACCTTTTGTCGAGCACCATAACACTTTTTGAGCCAGGAATAAGGGGCCAACTATGAACATTTTGTATACAGCAACAGAAAATCCCTTCTCAATGTGCTTTTAACAGTGTTTGTTTTTATTAATATGTATTTTTGTATACTCTCTCTCTATAACCTACAGACAGCTCAAACCCCTTCACCCTGAAACTCTGCTTCTCCACCTCCTCCCATCTGTGAGCCCGAAACAAGATGGCCGCCACCGTTCAGCCGAGCCCTCTTTGACAAATCAGAGAGGAAGTTTTATTATTTCGAAAAAAAGAAAAAAAATGAGGGACAGAACATTTGAGATGTTGCTGTGAACTGTTTGAATGGTTGATATATGTGTGTGTTTATCATTTATTTGGGCAGGAAGTGATCTAGTTGTGACGATGCAGTTTTGAAAAAGAAAGCACCTTAATGACTGTGCAGTAGTAACAGTGTGATAATCCTCCTTTGAAACATGAGTGCTGTAAGTCATCTGGAGAAAAGAAATCTTCTGCGAGGGCTATAATGTAAACAGACTTGTATGTCACTTTAACAGTTTGATTGAATCACAATCAAATCAATCAAATAACTTTATCATCCACAAACTGGCCCTTTCATATCATTGAGATTGTTATAAATAGATGAGTAAACACATTAATACTTAGTCACAGTGAACAAGCTTTTTAGACGGCGTTGTATTTGTTGTAGCAGGATGTTGAACAAAACTCAGGGAGGTATCAGTAAAAAGTGAAAATCCATCCGATATCAGAGCAACATTTGGCAATCCTGAAATATTTGTAATATTTTTTAACATGTCATTTTGGTTTTGCACTGCTGTGTGTTTATTTTATTGAACTTAAAGTTATTTTATTAACTAGGTTGTGTTACTGGTATATCAGTGCATTTAAGACAAAATGAGCTCAACGATTATTTATAGTTTTGTTTGATTTATTCAACTTCAGTGTTTATGTATTTTTTTATTTGTAGTAAAGGCAAAAGAAATGGAGGCCAAAAAAAAGGCCAAAAAAAACATGTGTTCAGGAAAGTGTTTTTTAATTGTTATTAACACAGTGTTAGAGAGGGTTGATTCTTGCTTTATTTTGTATTTTTTTTGTTATTAGTGGAGATGTCAATAGACAAGAAAACACAACATTATTTATTGAATTTATGTTTACAGAAAAAATTCATTATGAGTATAAAATCATTGTTTTATTTTTGGTTGCTTAAACTGTGAATTTTTAAGTAACACTACTTTTCGTGTATATACTTATTCGTTGCATTCTATTCTCATATAGATGCGGAGAACATGTGTTATTGCAAGTATAGCGAACTGTTTCTGCAACAAATAAACACAACGATATCTGACATATTTAAACCTTTACAGTAAGTAGCTGGTGAACAAACACCGCTCCAATGTGATGATCATGTTGTTCTGCGTCTTCTGGATGTTCATCAGGTCAGATGTTTGATATGAAGTTAGCCACAACTACTTAATAAGTTTGTATTTTCAGCTGCAAGCAAGTTTCCTTTAAAGAAAAAAAGCAATTAATGCTGTTTTAAAACATGCTGCTGGGGTTTACCATGACAGCAATTAGTGTAAATGACGTGTGTTGGAGAAGGTTTTGGCCTCACATGACTAACAGCTAGCATTAGACTAAAATGCAAGAACTGTATAACTGCTCAAAGCATTGACAGACTTACTGAAACCAATTTAGTTTAACAACAATTTCTTTGAATATAGGACCTTGAGGTCAATGCATAATAAGAATGACATGCTAAACATTCTAACAATGCAGCATGCTGTTAGGATGCTACCATGTTAGCATAAATCCATTTGAACGTTGCTAACTACAGGAATCCATTTCTTCTGCAGTCATCTGGGAAATTAGTTGTAAATGTAGTTCTTCGACGTTGTTAGTAGCACATACTACATTTTGTAGATAAAACTTAACATTATGGACTGACACCACTAAAGAGAAGGGAGACTTTATTTGTGTGTAATTTGGGGTAAACAGCCCCTTTAAAATATATTAAAGCACAGATTTGTAATGGTGAATGATGCCGTAAACAGAAATATGTTCTTGTCTATGATTTTAATGAAAAAGAGAGACAATCACAAACTACTTGTCTGTATCTATTGATGTTGATCCTATTAAAAGTTGTTTTTTGTTGATCATGCAAGAGTCTGTAGCATTAATGTTTTCATCAATAATTCAGAGATTAAATAACTCCAGATCTAGATCCTAAGTGAAATTCCACCCTGCTCCACTTTGCCCCAAAAGCATAGGAAATGTGCAGATGCAACACACTGCAAACTGCCTCATATGTCTTAAACTTTAATAACAGGGTTCTTTTCTTCGTTTCAACTCTAGCCTGAGATGCAACAGGCAGGTTGCAATAAAAATAAAAGTGTAAGTTGAATACACAAGTGTATTTCAACTGCAAATGTCTGCATGTTCAATAATAGCTGCTTTGCTTATTATCAGCCCGTTCTTTATAACAGCAGAATACAGACAGCAGAGAGCCAGTCTGAGCAGCATGTAATCACATAACACTCAACAACACTAACAACAAGAGTGTAGTTTGATCGAACCACCTGCAGGGAACATAAAGGAAACAAGGTCAAAGTTGGAAACAGCAGCATCCTGTGTCTGAAACAACTATAAATAATAGGACATGTTGCTGAAATGCCAGCATGCACAGGGTGAGAATAGATTCACTGAAACATTTTCCCACAGGAATCAGCTGACCGTCTCAACTCAAATCCATTTTCTACAGCTATATCACGAGATTTCAAAAACTATTTCTGACATTGAGGCTGAATTAGGTCTGGTTTGGGTTTTTTACATCAATTTAGATTCAGCAGAACTATTTCCTCTAAAAAATGTATTGAATGAAAGTTGTTTAGTGAACTAGTATTGTGTAGTATAGATTACATAAAAAAAACATGTCAACTATAATATAATCATACTGTTGGATTAGTGTCCGGATGACATACTGTCAAGTGATGCAGCTGCATTACTTGACAATGCCCAACAGAATTGATTTTACTGTCAATATATGTTTGATTTATGCACAAATTGCACCTTCTATATATTTGGGTCACAGAACAACTGATTAATCTCTGTTAAAATGGCAGTGTGTTAGAAAATGGTGAGTTAAACATTAGTCTTATGTTTTATATTTCATAAGGTAAGAAACAATATTCCGATTTGCTAGGCTACTTAAGTAAAAAGTATGCACTTAAGCAAAAGTATGTCCTAGTAAAATGAACAAGTAGATTTAAAAAGTGTGAAAGTGTATGTGTTCTAAAATCTTTGAACCCCCTGTGTCCTAACCACTTTTCAACACAGAGGGACGCCCTTGAGTACAAGTACCTCGCATGGGTGTACTCAGTACTTGAGTAAATGAACTGACAGGGGGTGGGGCTTCAGCTCTGTATTTAGGACCCCTCCACAGCTTCAAATACTGTGACGTCAACGCAGTCTGCTGCTATCAGCGGGTCAAAGAAAGATGGCGGCGGAGGAGAGCAGGTTGAAGCAGCGGAATCACAAAAACAGCATCTTCAAAGAAGGTAAATTCATATCGACAGTTAAAAAAAAATGATGATAGCGACGGGATAGATGACAGCAAACGTGGTCTATAAAGCCGTGTGTTTTTGTACACGGTTATGAAATGACACTGCAGGTTCGCCTCGTCGAATAATCGCATCTCATCCCGCTGGAATTAACGCGTTTTTATTGTTAAAAATGTCACTCAAAACATGGCACTCCCACTATTGACAGTGACCACGAAGATTGCCTGGAGCGACTCCGACTCATTCCCGCTATGCACTTGTGTATTATCGTGGAAAAGCCTGTTTTTGTTAAGCCGCCCAGCTGTCATCACCTTCACCTGAATGTGTTTGTTGTTAGCGGACAAGCTAACATAGCTGCTAGCCTATTCGAGCCACTTCTTCATTGTTCTGATGTTAACATAGTTGTTACTAATAACGGTTGGTTGACGGCTGTTAGCTTCTGTTAACTACCCTAGTTACAGAGGTGGGAAGTACCTAAGGACATTTACTCAAGTACTGTGCTTGAGTGCAATTTTAAGATGCTTGGACATTTCCACGTTGTGCTTTTACTCCACTACATTTATTTAATACCTTTTTTAGTAACCTTGCAGATCTGAATGAATGATGTGAAATATAATCAACTCTTAAATCAGACTTTAGTTCCACCTGGAGTAAATCCACAAGCTACCCTGCAGTATACAAAGTCATTCAAACTAGCTGCACCTTCACCAGCTTTGATAACGCTTTAATGCATCAATACTTATAAAACATATCATATATATTATTCTGAAATGGACCAATCTGCACAATGACTACTTTTACTTTTGGTACTTTAAGTATATTTTGATGCATGTACTTGTACTTTTATTTGACTAACATTTTTGATTGCTGGACATTTACTTGTAACAGAGTATTCCTACACTCTGGTACTTCTACTTTTACTTTAGATCAAGATCTGAGTACTTCTTCCACCCCTGAGCTCCTGTTCCCTCCTGTAGCTGATTTGAGTTGCCATGTTATCTGGGATAGGATAGTGCACTTTGCAAGGGCATAACGGGGTGGTTTAACACAACAGGCTTACACAATTGGCTATGAGCTTCTCCTGCAGTGAACTTTACACTGAATTCTGTTTATAAATCCACAAGGTAAACCACTTTCCTCTCCTTTTTGGCAAGGATTAATAATGCTACCATTTTCCCCTCTCCATATTATTCAATATCAGTGGTGGAAAGTATCTAAGTGCATTTACTCAAGTACTGTTCTTAAGTACACATTTGAGGTACTTTACTCTACTCTAGTATTTTAGTTTTTTACTTCTTCTCTACTACATTTTGGAAGCAAATACTTTTCTCTTAATCCACTATTTATTTTACAGATGTATTTACTAGTTACTTGGATACATTTAGATCTTGACTAACGATTATAAGGAAAAACTATGATTTTTAAAACGTTTTTTCGTTGTATAGATTATACCACCCAACATTATATTTGAGTAACTAAAACAAATTATTTGGAAGCTATTTTGCTAATAAGATTGTTGTTCAAAAATATTTCCACAGATCCAGCTTCTTAAACGTGAAGATATTTTTACTACTAATACTTTGAGTACATGTTATTAATCAGACTTAAATACTTTTACTTAAGTACCATTCTCGATGCCGTAATTTTACTTGTGTGGTATTACTGCTTCTACTAAAGTTAAGAATTTGATCAAGATTGTGGTTTCTCTCTGATAACCAGGTACCTGCTCTGAAGTCAAGCTAGCTGATGGTGAAATACCTAGTGTGCTGTTTTTCTTATCAGTCCTTTGTCAACGTGACTGCTGCTTAAATATTATCCACTGTCAAGTTTGAACTGTATTAGTCAATATTGGACTATGTTTGACTGGGTCCCAACAGCTGTTTATCAAATGTAAATTAACTTCTCAATGTATTTGTATCATTGGATACAAAGAGCGTGTGTCGCCTGTTTCTTTAACTGCAAAAACTCTGTTGACCTCGTGTGTGGAGAACTGCACACTGTGTGCTAAGACCCAAGTGGGGCAAACATTGAGCCATCTACCATGTGATGTGTATACATAGTTGCACTGGTGGGGTTATCCTCTTATTCCACATTCCCTTTTTGAGCCAAGTCTTCATTTTCCCAAACAGCACAATGAAATACTTGAGGCTTAAGATTTATTATTAGCCGCTTTCACACCGCAGGACTTGCCGTACTTTAGTGCCGGCACTAAGGTACCACGGCACTGAATCCGCCAGGGGGCTAGTGTCAATCGCATTCACACCGCAGTACTTTCCCTGAGGCAAGATTACGCTGACGTCACTTCGTCTTCTTCTTCTCTGGGTTTACTGGCAGGCCGCAAAACCACTTNNNGTTTGGTTGCCAGGCCCGGAAACACTTTTTTCCATTAGCCGCTTTCACACCGCAGGACTTGCCGTACTTTAGTGCCGGCACTAAAGTACCACGGCACTGAATCCGCCAGGGGGCTAGTGTCAATCGCATTCACACCGCAGTACTTTCCCTGAGGCAAGATTACGCTGACGTCACTTCGTCTTCTTCTTCTCTGGGTTTACTGGCAGGCCGCAAAACCACTTCACGGCGAGTACAAGAAAAACGAGAGAAGAAGAACTACACGGGGGAGGGGGTAGTAAAGCCCACCCGCTGTACATGATATATATATATATATATATATAAATATATACAGTGGGGCAAAAAAGTATTTAGTCAGTCACCAATTGTGCAAGTTCTCCCACTTAAAAAGATGAGAGACCTGTAATTTTCATCCTAGGTATACCTCAACTATGAGAGACAAAATGAGAAAGAAAAAAATCCNTTTTTTTTCTCATTTTGTCTCTCATAGTTGAAGTATACCTAGGATGAAAATTACAGGCCTCTCTCATATTTTTAAGTGGGAGAACTTTCACAATTGGTGGCTGACTAAATACTTTTTTGCCCCACTGTACTGTAAGTGCTTTGTTAATAATTATATCGCTCAAAGTGGAGTCGAAAGAGATGAGTTTTCAGTCTGCGCCGGAAGATGTGCAAGCTTTCTGCTGTCCTGATTTCAATGGGGAGCTCATTCCACCATTTTGGAGCCAGGATAGCAAACCCACGTGTTTTTGCTGATGGGAACTTGGGTCCCCCTCGCAGTTCGGGTGCAGCGAGCTGTTTGGCTGATGCAGAGCGGAGTGCACGAGCTGGAGTGTACGGTTTAACCATGTCCTGGAGGAAGGGCCAGATCCATTCGCAGCATGGTACGCAAGTACCAGTGTCTTGAAGTGGATTCTAGCAGTTACCGGAAGCCAGTGAAGGGAGCGGAGGAGCGGCGTGGTGTGGGANGACAGACAGACAGACAGAGAGACAGATAGACGGACGGACAGACGGACAGACAGACAGACAGACAGACAGACAGACAGAGAGACAGAGAGACAGAGAGACAGACAGACAGACAGACAGACAGACAGACAGAGAGACAGACAGACAGACAGACAGACAGACAGAAGAGACAGACAGACAGACAGATGGGTGGATCTACCACATCTTAGCGCTGCCAACCAGTTTTGCATTTTAATTATTCAAGTCTCTCGTCTCCTGTTTTTTTAATAGCCTGCTCTTTGATGGAGCT